AAAGAAAAGTGACGTCGGTTTTTGTAATGTTATCGAATCCGTTATGGGGACACTTGACCGTGATTTCGATATAACTGAGTAGCGCTTGTTCATAGATTCTAGTCAAATAAATCTGAAAGCAGTACTACTCCACAATGGGAACAAAGGATATAGTGGAATAAGATAAGTGAAGTTGGCCCATGACCAAACTAGAAGAGGGTGGTATCTTATTGTACTCCCCTAGAATTTCAATGCGAATCTTGATATAAGAACAAAATGACTATTTTCAGTGGATTCCTCGTCCAAAAATATGTAAATAATCGATTGATAGATTTGATTTCATTATGTGGTCCATCCTTTTCGGACTTCGAAACGTATCAATTTTTTTTGTGCTTAATAAACTATCATTTTATAAGTTTCTGTCATTTTTAACTCACGATTTTCGTTTTTTTTCTGAATTGATAGGAAGTGTTTTCTTCGATCTGTTTAAACGTCAACTTATATTTCGTACACTTAAGAATATATGTAATTGTAATATAATTAAGTTTTTGAATAAGAGAAAAATAGGTAATTAATCCATAAGAAACAATTCACTAGAATACATTTTTTTGAAAAATATTTTAAAATTGTGAAAAAGAAATAGAAAATGGTTTTCACAAATGATGGAATCTGTATTCAAACAATTAATACAATATAATTTATTAATATAACAAATATATAGCTAAATTAATTTTCAATTTTTTAAAATTTTCATTATTCCTTCCTAGTTTTCACCTTCATCGTCGCTCATCAATTGGGCAATATATGGGTAGATATCTTCATGATTGAATAGTTCCGAAAGCTACACAGCAGGCCTAAGAATTTTGCTCTGATATCTTGTATTCAATAGATAATAGAATACAGCTGCGACATGCGAACAGCATTCAACTGTTCTTAATACGCATTCACATGTGTAACATTGTAAAAAAGACCCATCGCATCCATTAGTAAATGGCTTGTAGTCTAAATAGCATTTATACGTTTTGATCTTAATATGTCGGGGTGTTATGCGCACTTCAATTATATTTTGTTGTGTTTTGCATATAGATGCCGTGCACGTTGGCCTAGTAGCGCCCTCCTTTCTGTGACAGGGCAGGTCAGTGTTACGTCAGACTCGGTATAGAGTCATCAAACGATGTGGAAACGTGTAAGCAAGAGCCGGTAGACCTAGTCGACGCCAAAGGGCCCAATATCAGCATCTGGACGAGTTCGAACGAGGCAAAATTATCGGTCTCCGAGAGGCGGGTTTGAAGTACCCTGACATTGCGGCTCGAACGGAGCGCGATGCAACGACAGTGATGTGTGTGTGTGTGTGTGTGTGTGAGAGAGAGGGAGAGTATTGGATAGAGGAGGGCCGTAAACAGCGACAAACGGGTACTAAACCACATAGTGTGACTACAATGCGAGATGACCGTCATCTTGTACGCATGACCATAATCGACTGAATGGTGTTGTCCAGAATGTTGGGTCGACTGTATAGCACTGCAACGGGAGTGGTCATGTCTGCGTGGACAGTTCGACGCCGCCTGCTGAGGGCTGGACTGGTGGCACACACATTAATCGCGCAACGTTTCTTGAGCGATGACCTAGCTTCCCCCTCTCTGTTACAGTAAACAGTTGAAGACAAAAGCTCGCAACGAGCACTGATGACATTCCAAACACATCTTCACTGTCGAGAAAAATAAATTATTTTCTGTTGAAAGCAGGTGAAGATCAATCACAGGAGACAAGGTGAAAAACATCTCGAACTCTGAGAAAGTTATAACGAAGTATTGAGAAAGTTGCGAAGGCATGACTGATTCTCCAGAGGTTGGCATTGCTTCATAAAATCTAGTGATCTATTTCGTAACCAATACCCTCACTATACCCACATTTTTAATCCATCATTCAAGAAAAGTTGCGCGAATAATACCACTGCGTTGGATTCCGTTTACCAAAAACCACCAACGCCTCAGACGGCAATGGGCTTGTGAACATGTTTACTGGTGTGCTGAGTAGTGTTTTTCGACGAGTCCCGCTTCAATTTGTGCTACAACGATGGCCGAATACGTATTCTACGCTACCGTGGTGATCGCAATCGGCCAGCCTGTGTTGTTCCGCGCCATAACGAATAAACTCTCAAGTGTGATGGTTTGGGGCGCCGTTAGTTGCAATTTGCGATCTCGCCTCATACGTATTGAGGCTCTGTCATTAGCTTTAAGGTGGAGGCACTGAGTAGACGATGCCAAGCTTCTGGTGCCGGTATGCTCGGTAACCCACCATTTGAGACTATGGCGCGTCTACCTTTGGACAGGATCGAGTGAAGGAGATTCTTCGAAATGTTCTGGAATGTGGAAGTCCGGCGGGAACCTGTTACCACCCGCGAAGTTGCCCAGGTGGCGATACTCACGTCAATATCCTAACGGTGTAGGCAGTGAGGAGACGGGAAGGGGGCTCCGAACCTTAGTTCGGGTGGCCCCCTTTTGGGCTCTCGGCTTCGTCGTGGCAGTGGCCCGATACCTCTGGGTAAAGAGGAGGGACGTATCCCGTCGCATGTGAATGGCGCATTGATTTGACTCCGGTACTAACCTGGACATTACTAGCAGGGCGGCCCGACCCGGGCATAGAATGGGGTGGTTGCCGTGAGGGCAAACTGCGTTCCGGCGGGATCCGGATTCCAGCCTGGCTGCGTACTTGGACGTCGTCGGGAGTTAGGGTAAAATCGAAAAGTTTACGGACCAATCCCGGAGACTTGTTTCCCCTGGTAGAACATACAATAGTGTGGAGTTTTAGCTCCCGCGAGGATCAGCTACCCCTCCTACAAGCAGCTCCACATGCCATATTTCAGACGTCTAGAGGCTCTGAGGAGAGCGCGTGGCGACTTCACCCCATGCTAAATACTCAAGATCAAAATGCACGTCGAGTTCTGCAATTCTAATCATTTGTATATTGTGATATTCCTAATCTGTGGAATAAATATCATTGTAATACTATATCTCCTTGGTGTTACAATTTTTTAAAACACCAGTGTATGTAGAGATCTCAAGACAATTGCAATTGTGCTTCCCCATGCAGCTCGGGTACACGAAGCACTGCTACTTTCTATGTGAGTGGGAGAGTAGAGAGAGAAAAATCACTATTGTGAAAAAAAACAGCCTAATCGGATTGAACTATTGCCTGAAAAGGGAAGTGTTAATACTCCTTTTGTTGGCCCCCAAAATCTCTACTTGCCTCCCTTGCACATTAAATTGGGTCTCGTCAAGAATCAGTAAATCATAAATGAAGGAATATTAGTAAGTCCACAAATTAGAAAATTAATGGATGATGAACATTTCGTTGATTTAAGTGATGTTGAAAAAAGGCATGGCTGTCTTTCAAAAGTGTCTAAAAACTTTCTAGGCAACCATAAGGCAAAAAACTATCGCGATATTGTACATGAACTATTGAGATCCTTCTACCTTACGGATCACTTAAACTACAATTGTTTTAATGTTAATTGGACTTCTTCCCGGATATTCTCGCCGCTGTTAGTGACGAACATGGCAAACGGTGCCACCAGAACATTTCCCAAATGAAAAAGCGTTGTCAAGGCAATTCGAGTGACACAATGCTATCCCACTCCTGCTGGATCTTATGAAGACACGTCCCTGAAGCAAAGTATCGCAAGAAATCGGGAAGGAAATATTTTTAGGTATGTTTCTCCACTATTCTGAACTTTGTTGTAATTTTTAACGAATACACTTGCATCTGTACTGTTATTAAAACGTGTTATTTTGCCAGATGCATATAATTTATAGGGAGACATACGCCTGTACAAAAACAATCATGAAAACTGAGGCCGATACAGAAATTCTGAAATCAGATCTGGAGTGAGAAGCAAATTATCTACCAGAAACTGCTTTGTTCTTGTTACAGAAAAAAATTTTTTGTAAACTAGTGTAATTAATATTTGTTGTAATTTTACGTCAATGTTAAGAAATTGCATTAACAATAATTGCCATTAATTTACTTCCAGTTCAACTTGTCTCAACTTTAAATCAGAGCTTCACTTGCTGTTTTTAACAGCACTTTAACATGTTATTTATTATGAAATATTTTTAAAAGACTTACTAGTGCAGTACATAAACATTTTTCTCATTGGTTTTATCTAATCCTAACAAGGTAGAAGTCTTAAATTTTAGATAGAAACAACCTTACTAAGTTAGTCATATAATAAACTACAAAAAACATCGAAGAACCTACCCTTCAAAATCCTAAAATTTTGTATGGAATAACCAATTACAAATTTTTGTGGTCTCAACGACTGCCCCTCAATTTGCAATACCTATCGCAATCGTTATTGGGTATTGAGCGTGTTGGTGCCCATTAACTTTTTGTCTCGTCACGTCTCAGTCAGCCGGTGCCTTTTTTCCCCTTCGGCCAGAGGCAGAGGCTCGGCGCCGTGTTCGCAGGCGGCCATCAGTCCAAGAATGCGCGGTGTCTCGAATTGCTAAGACTATGCTGGTGTCGATAGCCAAATTACTTAACTACATTCCGCATTTAACTGCATTTTCAAGTCACGGAAGTTAATTTTACGTTGTGCTTTCAAGAAAGTCTGAGGAAGTACTCCCACTGATTATCTCTACGGGCAATCTTTGCGTTTACCAAACAACTTTTTAGATGCACCGACGGATTTCGTCACCCGTTTACAGTACATAAACAAATTGTGATTCCTCCTACCTAATGTCTACATTCCAATACCGAATATCTTGCCCTCCCTGGCCTCTGTTGGCTCACGTCAAGACTTCTGTGGTAACATCTCTTCTACCTATTCAGGCTACAAGATCATTGATTGCAATCAGAATAATTTACTTACTGACCTCTGGTTGGTAATGGTTGACCTCTGTTGTGACGACGCGTTGCCGAGAGAAGAGAATTTATGAATGCCATTATTGAATTTAACAGGATATTAACAAGTCAGACGATCTATGTGTAGGACGAAAACTTTTTGGTTCCCGGTTGAAATGGTTTGTTTTGTATTTATATTACACTGTTATTATATCTTCCTTATTAAGTTATTCTATCAAGAGAATAAAATTGATTTGATATTGGGAGGGATTGACACAATGAGGTAACGGTCTTCCTTCAGTCGTGATGATAAATTAATTCGTGATGAGTCATTCCATGTCAAATCGCCCACTCACTTCAAGATCGAAACATCATTATTTTTAGCGACTTGAAAATGTTTTTGAGTTATAGGGTTAAAAATAGGTGTCACGTGTTTTTTCTTTTTTTTTTCCTAATCCCATCTCTTTCAAAAAAAATACTTTTCCCAATTTATTATACCATTTTATACAGAAAAATAAAATTACACTTTAATTTAACTTAAAAAGATGAACTTTCATGTGATGTAAGTATAATTTTTGTAAACACCTTATTTAAATATTTAAAATATATTTTAATTTTTAAAATGCAAATGTTTACTTTAGGTCGACCCTCAAATTAATTGTAAAAATGCTAATGTATTTTTACACTAATTTTGTATAGATCTGCCAAATTGTAAAGTGGGTCACATAAATAACATTTAAAAGAATAGTTTGTTCTTCGGCGCACGTAGGCAGTGCGCTGCCTGCCGGACTTCCTACTTGGGGTGTCAAGGACACGACGCATCGTGACGTCCAAACATAATGCAGCCGTGAGACTTACGTCATGTTATGAATTGCAGAAACACACATACGGTCTCAAATGGAAGCGTTCTGACGAAATGCGACTATTAAGTTATCGATCAGGTTTTTGACCGGTTTCCCTATTCCATTGTCCAAATGCTGAGATGGCCCCCTTGTTTTGCTTCTGGACGTAAATGTAGCTTCACTATGCGCACGTTTTGTTGAACTCTTCTTTTGCTTGTAATGGTATGCGTAGAGGTAAGGACGAGTTACTATTTTGTTAACAATGCAGGAAAATCATACCTGCAATTCGTTTACCGCTACAAATAAGTTTTCTATATCTCGGGAACGAAAATGTCTAGTTTTTTCTTCAATTATTGTTAATCTCGCGCTTTTTTAAAATTTATTTTTATTTAATTATTTTAAATTTTTACTCACCTGCCAACTATTTATAGTTAAAATTATGGGAAGGGATTCTGGGACTCAAAACAACGTGCGCAAATGATTTTCTCCCCCATAGTTCTTACTGTTGTTTTGACTAAATCTAAATATAAAAAGTTTTTTTTATAAACAACTGACACTGCTAGTGTGTGCCGAAAACCGAGCAGCCTTCTTTATCAGATACACTACGTCAGTTGTGTGAACAGTGGAATCCGCGAAACATGTGAGTTCTATGAAGTTAGTAACCACAGATAGACTTGCAGTAATATCAATACTATTATTATTTGTATTTTCTTAATACGAAAATCTAAATTAGCAGAAGTTTTCGTTTAGGTTATTAGAACAAGCATTCTTGAGATATTGAAAATTGACTGTCGTAAAAAAAAAAAAGTTATATTATTGGAAAAACTAGTTTTCATAATTCCTTCTCGTGACGAGTCAAGTGAAGTGTCTTCAAAATGAGAGACGTCCATGCGTATCAAAGCCGCAAATATGTTGGGCAGTGAGAATCATGAATAAGTACACTGCTGGTCATGGTCACCCTGACGTACCTGATACGAGTAATAAAGAAATTGCCGAATAAGTTCGTCTTGCGTTTCTTTTGCTGTTTTCACTCATCGTTTACCGTCTTCTCCTCTCTAAATGAAACAAAATTTGTCGCTGGGGATTTTCATTGTCCAGTGTGATTTTTTCAGAAAATTCTTCTTTTTTACTAAACTCATAGACTAATGAGTCATGCACTAATTAAGTAAGTTTATGACAGTGTTAACACATATTTCGGATAGGGTCAGTGCCTCGTATTACAAAACAATGCGAATTTATGCTTCCAAAAATAGTTTAAAAATGTGGGACATCAAGGTCGAATTTTCCATAAATTCGTGCGATTTGACGTGCAATAACTAGATGTCTTTTAATATGAGGGTTGCCTTTTATATTTCAGGGTTAGAGAACAAAAACAAATATTATCGAAAATCACTTTATTGTTTTTCAAAATATTCCCCATGAATATCTATACACTTTCGCATACGTTTGAACCAATTGTCGAAGCACTTTTGCCACTCTGATTGAGGTATCTCCAAAACATGCATTCTGAATGCAGCAACCGCTTCTTCAGGTGGCAAAAAAACGTTGACATCTCAGTTTGTTTTTTACGTACGGGAATAAAAAGAAGTCATTCGGTGCCCAGTCAGGACTATACGGCGGATGACTTATGAAATCGATGTTTTGCTGCTGAAAAATGCAGTTGGTTGAGCCGATGTGTGAGAGCTCGCATTGTCGTGGTGAAGAGTGAACCGTCTTCGGTGGTTGGTTTTCCTGATTTCTTGGTAGAGAGCTGGCAAACATCGTTGTGTACCACTCAGAATTGACTGTTCTGCGTTGTTCTAGTGGTACGGTTGCGACATGTCCATTTTTTTCGAAAAAACTGGCGACCCTCTGTTTGGAACTTTTGTTGGATTTTGCTCATCTTGAAACACCCATACAGTCGACTGCTGTTTACTTTCGAGCTCATACGCGTAAATCCACGATTCATCACCTGTCACGATTGACAAATTGTGTGGGATCCAACGCGAACAATTTTTTTTTGACAGTCAAATGTTCATGCAATATTGAATGTATGCTGGTCCCACTAATGCATAAGGTATCAATCTCACGATAGGTCACATGACTATCTTGCAATATCAGTTCGCGCACAGCATAAATGGTTTTCGGAACAACTGATTTTGGACGACCTTCGCGAAATTCGTCTTGGAGTGAACTACGACCACGATTAAATTCACCATATCATCGATAAACACTGGTCCTTGATGGAGCTTCATCTCCAAAAATTGAATTCAGTTCATTCATGCTCTGTTGCTGAGCTAATTCACTTCGAAAGTTGTAAAAAATAATCGCAAGAAAATGTTAACGATTTTATTCCATTTTTGGGCCAAGATGAATTTTTTAAGTTACTGTAAACAACACAAATAGCGCTCATATTTCAAAACGTTCTGAGTACGTATAACCTCAAAACATCTAACTTTACGATAGAGTTGTCAGTTGCCAGATTGCAACACCAGGGTTGCCAAATCCCGAAACATAAAAGGCAACCTTCGTAGTTAGTACATCGACTTTCTGCGAGACCAAGTTATTTCCATCAAACTTGACCGTCAAATTAAGCTGCTTAGCTTTAATTCCCTTTGAGTATTGATTTTTGAATGAAATTTCTTCTAGCAGCACAACCAAAGTTTTGCCGTGGCTTATTTCATTATGCTAAATTGCTCCTTCCTAAATTCAGCATTTTTCCGCTTTAGTCCCAGGTTTCTTACACAATCTTCTATTTCATTGAAACATCTCGAATGTGATGCCTGTTTTACTCCCAATCTTCTCCTCCCCCCTCGACCAAACCTCCACATATACGCGCACGCACGCGCATACACAACTCGCACATTCGCGCTCTCCGTCTATCTCTCCGTCTCCCAATCTCTCTCCGTCTCCCAATCTCTCTCCGTCTCCCAATCTCTCTCCGTCTCCCATTCTTTCCTCATTCATCTCTCTCCCTGCATCTGTCTCCCTCTCCGTCTCGTGCTTTTCTTTTATCTTGTCTTGTATCTTGTAAAGTATCTTGTTGAATATCAGGATTTAGATTGTGGTTCATGTAACAATATTAAAGAGGGATAAATTTTCTTGATAAATTATTATTTCTGATTCCCCAAGTATCGGTTTCTATGATATGGCAATAAATTCTTCTTAAGATCTGTTCCCACGTTTGTAGAGATTTGTGTCTTCTTAGTGAAGGAGCATACCCAGACACTACTACTGGTTTAATGATAATTTTATGTTAGTGGGAAGCCATTAAAAGGGAGGAATCTTCAAAGGAAGATCGTTCTTGCACTTAAGACCTTTAATATTGCCTAAAAGGCGTACCTCAAGTGGGTTATGGTTTTAAATTTTTTTCCTTTGTTGTATTGTTTGTGAGGTACAGGACATAATTTGTAAACAAGAAAGTCATATGCTACATAGGTACAGTCAAAAAAGACCTACTAAAGAATTACTGAAGAAATTAAACTTTTTTGGGTCTTATGTTGAGTATATTTACTATAATGCTCATAACCAAAAGTTTTAATTTTTCGGAGATATGGCTTTCAGGCTGAGGAGATAGTATGAGTCACTGATATCACTAATTCAAAGGAGATGTATTCATGTATAATAATACAAAAATTCTTTCATTGGCTTGAAAAGTGTGTCATTAATTCAAGATACTTCATTGATGCAATTCTGGAGTATAATGTTTTCTTCAATGTAGTGTGTAAATGTGTTACATTATTGGTCTACTGCAGATTATTAGTGCATCTTTTTTTAACCTTATAGTATAAAATGAGGGATAATCCTGTACCAAGCGCAAACTATCCACCTCTTACTAAACAATGCTAGCTACCTTACTAACTAAATAATATTATGTTTGACATAAGATTCATTGATTCAAGAAAAGCATTGAGAAATTTGTATATTATGACTTATCTTCTGTTTCAGGTGCAGACATCTCGTATTTTAGGAGTGCCATTGGTAGTGACTGAACAAAACCCAAATGGTTTAGGTCGCACTGTATCCGAATTGGATGTCAAGCATGCTGTTGGAGTTTATCCAAAAACACGATTTAGTATGTTGACTCCTGAAGTGTCATCTGTAATAGATGCACTCTGTGGAGGTCATCTTCAATGTGTTGTTTTGTTTGGAGTTGAGGTGAGTCATTTTTCAGAATGAAACTAACAAACCTTCATTTGAATAAGATTCCTGCATGAGAAACGGTTTGTAGTGATGTTATCAGAGTAGTTTGGATAGGAAGAAAGTGAACCCAAAAAATGTTGGACCTCAATTTCTGAACTTCATATAACTTGGATGCATTTTCAAAGAAATTATATTTTATTTAGTAATGAACCACCCCTCTTAACAATGAACAGATGGAAATATGGAAACATTAGAAAAGGACATGTTGCTGAAACTTCCTTTGCTTCGTGAAGCACACAAAAACTGAAGTTAGGACAGAATAGTTGTTGAGCAATGCAAATTTCAGAGTAGCTGTAACTAAATAAGTTTAATAGAAATTTAGAAATGTTCAGTGCATGGTGTGAGCCATGTAATGTTGAGTGAATAACCCCAAGAACATTGAATGTAAAATACTGAGCAGTCTTGGATACATTGTATTAATTTCATACAGGAAATTTTTGCCTTCATATTCAAATCTTAATATACATTTCTTTTATTTTAATTAGGTTATATACATGACAGGTTCAGTAGTGAAACTACTTATTATTCAATGAACCTATTACAGTGTTTTGGATTTGAACTTGCTCTACAAAAGGTAGTTGCAATAAGTTTGTTAGGTATGTGCTCTTTACTGCACCCAGGCTCATGTTTGTGTGGAGCAAACTGCTGCTGAACTCACAGCAAGAGGCTTGCAAGTACATGTGGTGGCAGATGCTTGCACTTCTCGTTCCCAGGAAGATCGCCTTTTGGCTTTCCAGGTGAGTGAGGGAACATGACAGGGTTGCAAAATTATCTACAGACTCAATTACATTGCTAATTTTCTTTAAGTTATGAAAAATCTTCTTTCTTAAAGGTTTAATAAGTTTGAATTAAAACCTTTCTTTAAAGTGTACTGAACATCTGATGAACTTTTACAGTTCATGATTAAGCATTATAATATGATAATATACTTGTATTATTATTATTATTATTATTATTATTGTTGTTGTTGTTGTTGTTGTTGTTGTTATTATCATCATCATCATCACCATCACCATCATTATTAATATTGTCATTATTTGATTACTTGTTCAGTTAATGATTAATGTGCTTATGCAGCAAACCTCCTATCACAAAAGAAACAGGGTGTTTTAGGTCCGGGTTCAGGGTTTTTTTATGTGAAATAAAAATGTTATGAAGAAAGACATTACAATTTTGGATATTTATTTCATCCAAATAATGAAGTTGAGTAAAATAAAAAATCAATTAATACTTTTTAAATAAATTACTTTCATATTTGAAAAATCATAAGCAAATTTACAAGTTGTTCATCTACAAAGGCATTCTCACTATGATTATACGTAGGACCATATGTAGCTGAATAGTATGTACTTGTCTGGTTGCAGTCTTTCATGCATTTACCTTGCATCCAAACCAAGAAATAGTCTTGTGATTTCAAGTTTTGAAGTCATTGCATTATGCACACATGCACTAGCTGAACATTCCAAGTCATTTTTTACTGCACAGAGGAATGAATTCATATAAATGCATCAACCTGCATAGACAAATAATTCTACTAAATGTTTCCAGTCACACCCACCCTATCAGTTTGTGTTTGTCCAGAACTCCATCTCTTCTTTCATTAACCAGGGTTGGCCAAATTTTGTTCAGCCCCTGCCTGGAGGAGAATTCTAGCATATGGCTAGTCTGATTTAAATTTTTCAATTGCTTCTCTTTTCTCTATCAGGCACGTTCCTAGAAGTTGTCTAACAGGCCAAAGTCTGCAAATAATCGTCTCTTCCTCAGCCTTGTTTCCTCCTCATATACACACACACACTCAAGCACGTGCACGCACTTACACTTGCATGCACTACTCTACCACTTATATTGGGTGATCACCCTGGAGCTTGACCTTGCTGGAGCTGTGCTCCTTTGGAGGGTGAGATCTGGAAGAGGACGTTCCTTGTGGCCAACATGTAGGTCAGCATCGAATCTCTTCATCTGGAGGGGGAGAAGACAGCCACCTCCTGGGGTAAGACATTTACTTCACTAATGGGACTAAAGACCAAGCAGTTGACCTCCCCGAAAACGTGAATCAATAAAACAAAAGAATACAAAGACAACATAAGAACAAAATTAACTTACACTAAAACTCCAACTTGTTTTGCTGCTTTGTTACATCTCATGCATTTGTTACATTGCTTCCCAAACATAATCAGATCAATAAAAATGTATGTTACTGGTATTGGTTATATGACTTTAAAATCTTAAATTGGATGGGGGGTAATTCTTTGGTGCACAATTTATATACTTACTGAATGTACTTCAATTTTATCCACCAATAAAACCCACATAAATCCGATAATATCCATCGGGTCATCTGTGTTTTTGTTGTTGATTTTTTCCCTCTTTTTGAAACAAATGAAAGACATTCTTCAGTGTAAACTAAGGTGTTTTGTGAGGTGAGGACAAATTTTGAAACTACTCTGCCCTTTAGAACAGATTCCAATAAAATCTGTTTGTTACCCTCATTGTGTCTGTAGATGCATCTTCAGGTTTCAGTTGTAATGTATCTACTTTGTTTCCACAGGCAGATACAATATCTTCATTTTGACAGGTTCTGGAAGTATCTTTTTCATCATCATTCCCTCTGAATATATCAAATTCACTGATCTCAAAGTCATTCAATACTTTTTTTCCCCATTTCTTTTCTTCTTTTCTCTCTCTCTCTATATTGCCTTATTTAAGGAATTTGAAAAAAGAAAAACTCCTTGAGTGTGGATGAAAATGTAGATAACAGTAATGAACATGCATTATAGAGGTTTTGAAACTGCTTCTAAAAATTAAAGTTACGCCATATCATTTCAACAACAGTTCCTAGAAGACACTTAGCCCTTAACAGTACATAGTATCACTTTGCAACACCCATTCGAGAAGCCAACATCCATAAAGGTGCCAGACAACAAATAAATAATTGGCTCCAGGTTTATCCTTATCCCTTCACTCACAATATACTTCAGGCAAAAGAGTATTATACAGTCTACTTAACACTTTTCAGACAATCATAGGAGTCTGAAAATGATAATAAAGTAATTGAATTGTTTCAATAAATATTCTTCCAAAGTCTTTTCTTGTACGCTAGACCTACGGGGTCGCTAAGTCTTTGTTTCTCTAAAGCATGACAGTTTTGATAAATCCATTTATATTTTTTGAACAAATGAGGCGATACCATAAAAGGTTGCGAACATTAGAGAAGAAAGAGGTGGAAGTACACAAGTGATGACCATTTCTCATGATTCAGTTGTTGTTGAGAATTTTTAAAGTAAGGATGAGACCTAATAGCCCTGTTTCTGCATCAGAGGGTTAGGCATTGGAATACTTATTTGTGTATGTACTGCAAATCCAAATAAAACAATTCTGAAAATAATTTATTTTTGTTGTATTATTAAATCAAAATACACATTCTTAACTATGAACCTAATTGAGGAGATATTCTTACATTTATTTTGTCGTGTCAATTTGATACCATGATTTTTGTTCCACAGAATATTTTATAATAATTTGGATGTACAAATGCAACAAAAATATTGTGATGAAGTCTCTCATATTTGATTCTGATATTCTAGAGATACGAAAGTCATCTTATCATTGATACAAAACTGTTTTGCCATTTTGTGTCTTTCAGGTGATTTAATGTTTATGAATTTCAAATATAGAAGGAGCATAATATAATTTTATTTATAACAAATCCAAAAGCATATAATAATAGTAAAAACATTACCCTACAATACTAAAAGTTTACTTATATTTATTGAGTTTTTGCTTGAAAAATTTCTCTGCTCTTTCTATTTGCAGAGACTGAAACAGATTGGGTGTTTCATCACCACATCAGAAACTGTAATATTCAAGCTTCTTGGAGACAAGGAACATCCACACTTTGCTGACATTAGGCCCTTGATCAAAACAACGTCCCCGAATACAGGACTTGCTACTTTGTCAAAAATGTAAATGATGTGTATGCAGTCTATTGTTTTACGTTTTATTACCATTTGGAGCACACTTGAAAATGAGAAGTGATCATAGAAACACAATCTATCTTTCAAACTATTTTAACATATAACATTCCAAATTTTAATAGCTTTTGAAGTTACTACTTAAAGCAGAGTAATTTTGTATAAAACTAAGAAATACTACCTTTTAACTGGTTCATTAATAATCCTTTATGTGCTTTCAATGTCTGAATTTCAATTGATATTTAGTTTTGAAAAAGACTGATCTACTTTTTTACATTGTGATAATGAAACATACCTGGTGATTCTCATGCATAATGTTGTTTCCATTAGGAAAAAAACTACAAATGTGTCTGGCTTGAATGAGAAAAGTTTAGAGGGCTATTGTATTTCCTTTTAAAGTAAATTTGTTCATTCATTAAGTGAAAGCACTTCACTTGAAGTTGATGACCTGAAAGTTGAAAGATGTAACATCTTATTAGACGAAACATTCTTGTTGTGGCATGCGAGATGTATGATGTATTCCTGTAAATAGCCTAAACAGTTTTGTAATTTGTATTATCTTTTACTATTTATTGGAAAATAGTGGAAATCAATATTTTATAAATTATTAAATGCTATGTGTAATACACAAGTGTGTGTGTATATTATGTATGTATACACATTTATACACACACACACATATATATAATGTGTGTGTGTGTGTGTATGTATATATATATATATACATACACATTTATACACGTACAAACAGGATGATTCACAGATGCAGGTCTTCTGTCGCAATCTGTCCAGAGCAGGTAATCGATACTGTTTTTCTTTAAATAGAGGCTGGGCCACAGGAGTGATATGAATTAGTGATATTAGTGTGACTTGTGTGTCATACTTAGTGCAAGGTGCATTCAGCAAAGATTAGAAAAAATAAATGAAGTGCTCGTGCCGCATGTTTCAAAACTTCATTTTGAGTTCCTCAACGATGCATTCACAGCATTTTAGTCTTGGTAATTTCCCTGTGCTTTGTTCCTTAAGACATGCTGTTGGGTGGTATGTTCATTATTTCAGAGTACACGTTTGATTGTAGTGAATTCCCAGGTGTAACAAGGAAAGACTGGTAGACATTGATCAATAATTTCGTAATAACTTTGCCCTGGAAAGTGAAAAAAACTTGTAATTTCTGTCATGATCTGTTATTAACCCTGAAAGTTGACCTTATTTCATCTAACCAGCTTCCTTATCAAGGAAGATTTAATGTCATTGAGCATTTCCCTTTTTCAAGTGGGTGCCTTTTCTATATTCAGACCATATGTGGGTTACTTAATGTACAAATGTATGTTTTATGTGCAAATTTTCTGGTAGTAATTTATAATTACTCAATAGTTTATTGCACAATATTTATAGGCATTGTTGGTGTCTCTTTAATAAGGTTGTGGTATTGTGTTCCTATTTTTATTATGTATGATGTGGTTCTTCTTTTTCAAATAAGGTACTTCACTGTAAAAATGCTTGCTGTGGTTCATGGTGAAGTATATAATGGAAAGAGACGCACAATCATGTTAATATATCATTAAACTTTGAGGTGTCTAAGGCATGTTATCTGGTAAATAAGTCAATTATTTCATGTGTATACAAAAATTTGATAGAACAAGAAATATTTACCTTTAAATGTAGAAATGAAATGTTGTTGTTTGCAAAAAGTCTGGATGTATCACCATGTGTTTCTTGTCCTGTATTTTAATTGTGTATAAAGTGCTCAAAGTTGGTAGAGGTACATGAGAATCATTACAAAATTATCAGTTTTTACATGTAAGTTGAAATATGTTTAGACTTTAGTAGGAACTTGAGGAATAGAATTTTATGAAATTGTTTGGCTGATACTGTCATGCTTTCATACACAAAATTTTTGGTTAATATACAGACATGGTGAATGTTTGCAACATTTGACATATCTCATGGATGTATAAATAACTAGAAAAAAGCAAATTGTGTCATGAATGGGATAAGAAGACGAAAAATAATTGTTTGCAAATTAAACCGAATATTTTGTGTATATGTGCATGTTTGCAACTCAACCTTTGAATGTGGAATTCTCTTTACCCAGGGCCAGACTTAGAAACCCACAGCAGGTAAAGTCTGGACCTTTTTCGTTATTGTGACAAAAAATCTATTTTAGTTTTCTTTACATTTTCTTTTTTTTTTTTTATCTTAAGTATTTTGATTTTTGAAAATAGACGAGAAGGTATAGAAATGAAACAAGCAAAAACCTGGTAGATTTTGTCGTGCAGTACAATTTTTACAATAATAAAAGATTATATTGCCGCATGACAAATTTTACTACAAGGGGACAAATGACTCACTCCAGTGTCTAAGACATACACTGAAAATCAGTATCGGAATGAAATAAGCCGTGATATCAAACAAAACCACAAACAAAGTGATGCCTCTCAAATTCTAAACAAAAATTAGTATATTAATTATTTTCTATTTTGCTTAGGAAAATTGACATTTTAAAAATGACCTGTGTGCTCAGTTTATTTTGATCCATATGCCAGGGCCTTCTGTGACAGTGGGGCCTTAGGCAACTGCCAACTCTCCTTGGGGAGAAGTGTACTGATACTTTGCCATCAATTTAAAGTGATAAGCCAAATTAATTTTCATTGTGTGACTCCTTACTGTTACTCTTAAACTGAATGCCTATCTCAGCTGGGGCAGTGTCCAACTGGTGAAGATGCCTAGAGAGCGAAACTCTGCTGGCCGATGTGTAGGTTAACACCGAATCTCACCACCGAGTGTGAGAACACTGCCGCCTGCTGGAATACCACATTCACTACACTAACATGACCACAAGCACTGTGGTAGATTTTGGAAGCTCATTAAGCCCATTTTTTCAAATCTATGCTTTATTACTGTATTATTTTATTTCAGTAATTAGTATGCCAATTTTCAAATATTTAGTATCAATATCAGTATTTGGTAAAAGTATCATTGTATGGTGTATTCACCTATTCATTTAGTAACTCAGTTGTATTATATCAGATTAACTTATCCTATTTCTTGTTTGCATTAACTAGACACAGTTTTGCTTTTGTTAAACTAATTGTTTAGGTTTCTTTTGAATATTGTGTGTATCTTACCTACGTCTTTCTCCCACTAAGTTAAGACACATTTGAGCAAATTTAAAATGCAGTTTTGCTGCTATTTGCTATTCTAGACTGAATTCTTGTTTCCTGGTGAACTTTTACCTTTTCCTAGGTTTAAAATATAAATCCAAGTAAGTGAGGTGTACTGTCTTTGAACTCCCCATTGGAAATAAGACCTTTGTGGTCCTATTGAGGAGAACAAATATCAATTTGACAAAATTGATTGGAATTTAATTAATTGATTATTATTAGTAATTTTAAATTAAACAGAAGCATTGAGCGAGTTCACTTCATGTTTGGTATGGTGGTATAATTGGTATATCAGTTTTTAGTATGGCTGTTTAATACCACTGCTCTAATGCCACAGAATCTTTGTATGAAGCATGTGACTTACATGAAATGTAAAAAGGACCTTATAGTTAATGTTTTGAATCTATAATGCTAGTAATTTGCTGTTTAGACTGTAAGACTTATTTCTGTGAAAACACAGATAGTTGCGCTGCCTCCAAGGTCAGAGCCTTGTTCTTGGGTGTAGATGTTTTGAAGGCCTGGCTTGTGAGGGATTATAAGTAATTAATTTTGTTTCAACAGATCTGTGGCATATGTAAGAACTCTTCACTTATTATATAGTATTGCCGACAAAATCTGCTAGTCATTGTCTATGTAATAAAATATCATAAGTTATTGGTGGTTGACCTTTCCACCAAAATGAAGACTTCTAAATTATTATTTCTGGTTTAATTTTTTGCTTTTGAATTCTTCAGTAAAGGTCCATATCCATTTTTTGCATCTGCAAAGAGCTTTTAAAATTTCATCTTCAGATCTTGAGGATAATCTGAGTTTTTCAACAACAACAGTTTCATTGAAAACTCTCTTCTGACACTACTAGTACAGTGTCAGAAAATTGATTCTCAGATAGGCCACTAACTTAATTTTTTACTACATCTTCTTGTACTTGAATTTACAGGATTGTACCTGAATGTTAGCTTTCTGATTAGCTGCAACCTATAGTAGAAAGATGATTAAACACGTGAGATTCTGGAAATAAGATTGTGGTATCCTAAGAATGCCCATGTGTTAACTTCTCATGAAAATGTGTTACTATTGTATAGCTTTTTGTGTATGTAAAAGGTTTTCATTTTATTAATATAGATATCTTCTAGAAGTTTAGCTATGATGCCTTACATGAACACCAAAGCCTTGGGCTGTAATTCTTGGGTGTGCTAACGAATTACAGATATTTTATAAAGTGTAAACCATAAAGAAGGGTGTACATATATTTTCTTTCATAGTGTTATAAGATTGATTTTAAAGTATTCTTATTCTTTGTTCAAAGAACTATCTTACTGTACTGGGCACTTACTTTATCATTCCATAAGGACTTGACCTAATGCGATGAAAATTATGATGAGGTTGACTGACTTTTTTTCCCCCTTGTTTTTGATGTTTTTAAAAACTCAAATGATTTTGGAGAGTGAAGAAGAAAAAGCTTTCAGGTATTCATTAAAAATACATAGCCTGTTTGAGAGTATCAGGAATTGTTTAAAGATGTCCAACAATTTACTTGTAAATAACTATTTTTACATGCTGAATGTTTATGAAATATGACAAATATTAGTTGTACAAATATATATTTTGGAATGTTCATTAAAATTGTATTCCCTCTATGACTTGTAGTAAAATTTATTGCTCAGTGCAAGTTGTCATGTGCTCATAACATTTCTTTTTGTACTGGGTTAAATATTGCTATTCGTATTTTTTGTTCCTGGCCAGTACTATTTGCCAAGGACATTGCTCGTCTCCATCTTCACTGTAGAAAGTAAAAGCTAGAAAAATTTGCTGCCTACCTTATAATTCAAAAAAACTGATTCCTTCTCCTCCCTAGACTTTCACCCTTTGCACAGACCATTCCGGCATCAGTACCTTAACCCAAGTACCTTCTCTTCTTCTGACCAAAATTTGTGACATATTATAATTATGGTGACTAGACTGAGACTGATTAATGTAACTACGTGGAACGCCAACGGAGGACTATCCCAGAAGAAGACAGACATCAGACAATTCATCAAAGACTACTCCATCGGGATATTACTGATACAAGACAGACATCCTCACAAACCTTTTCTATCCGTGACTTCACCTACCGGACTGACAGACCCTCCCTGGGAGGAACTGCCATCTGCATTCGCAAAAACATCCCATATACCCAATTCACGCCCACATCCCACATAGAAAACACTCGCATCTAACTGTCAACCCCTCACGACTCCTTAATAATTATCTCATCCTACAAGCCACCAAGCGCTTCTTTACTCCACTGTGACCTGGACGCCCTACTGACAGACAAAGCTATAATTGCCGGAGACTTAAATTAAAAAAAACGCAGCTTGGGGATGCAGGCGGACTAACAATACTGGACGGGACCTGCGAAATTACATACGATACCATAACAACGTGACTAGCCGTTCCTTCACTCTACCCACTTATTAAATGACCTCCCCCATGATATCCTGGGCATAGTTATCTACTGCAATTCCAGAATCCTAACCGCTCCATATTCAAATTACGAACTAGAATCCGATCACCTTCCTGTCATCTTCACCATCAACGCCCTCTCC